CTCTATTCCTCCATTTTTGTTACCATAGCCTCTGTTTGGGAAGAGGCTTTTGGGGCTTTTTCGGCTAAAATAGTTACAAAAGACAAAATAGGCTATTTTAGCCACAACAAACAAAATATCACATCTAACCCATAACCATTATATTCTTCTCTCGCAAAAAAAGTCAAAAAAACCAAAAAACCAAAAAGTCTCTCACAAATCAAACTTTTTAGCCCAGGCTAAAATAGCTAAAAAAGTCAAAAAGCCAAAAAAGTCAATCCACTTTCCAAACCAGCCCTATAGCTAGCTTGGAAGGGTAAAAGATGACTCCAGCAGACTCGCTCAAGCATCGTGAAAATGATTGCGAGCTACAGTACCTCGCCAGGACTGGCGAGGTACTGTTCATGCACCTTTTAATTTTTTATTTGTTTTGGCTCCTGAATTTTATTTTTGGAGGTAAAATTTTTCCCTTATTTTGGCACTAAAAGTTGTATCAGTACCTCCCCAACAAATCCATAGAGAAAGCATTCCGGTTAAAAATTAATTTTTTTAATTTTTTTTAAAAATATATATATAATAAACAAATAAATAATGTAACTTAGGCTTTTTTTGACAAGTTAACATTTTAGTCAAAACGTCAAAAAGTTATTAAAAAAATTAAAAAATCTATAACGTATATCAAAAAGTCCAAGATTCTCTTTTCTCTGTACTTTTTACATATCTTTTCTTAGAGCATCTCCAGAAGCCTCTCTATTCCTCCATTTTTGTTACCATAGCCTCTGTTTGGGAAGAGGCTTTTGGGGCTTTTTCGGCTAAAATAGTCACAAAAGACAAAATAGGCTATTTTAACCACAACAAACAAAATATCACATTTAACCCATAACCATTATATTCTTCTCTCGCAAAAAAAGTCAAAAAAACCAAAAAACCAAAAAGTCCCTCACAAATCAAGCTTTTTAGCCCAGGCTAAAATAGCAAAAAAAGTCAAAAAGTCAAAAAGTCAAAAAGTCAATCCACTTCCCAAACCAGCCCTATAGCTAGCTTGGAAGGGTAAAAGATGACTCCAGCAAACTCGTTCAAGCATCGCTAAGATGATTGCGAGCTACAGTACCTCGCCAGGACAAGCGAGGTACTGTTCATGCACCTTTTAATTTTTTATTTGTTTTGGCTCCTGAATTTTATTTTTGGAGGTAAAATTTTTCCCTTATTTTGGCACTAAAAGTTGTATCAGTACCTCCCCAACAAATCCATAGAGAAAGTATTCCAAATCTCACAAACTCTCTCATCCTCTCTATCTTTTTCTCAAACTTTTGCTCAAGGGAGGTAATAAATTTTGTCATTTCTGTTTATTTGTCTATGTATTTGTATTGCACAGCATATGTTTGTTGTAATTTCTGTTAGAATATAGATTGTAATTATTTGGATTCAGTGAATGGAGAACCTAGCTGAATTTATGGTATTGTAGCATAGGTGGCTGTAACATCGATTAATTTTTCGTTAATTTTGTGAAAATGTCAAACTACTATTTCATTGACCCAAAAAATAATGCCATTCTGTTATCTATCAGAAAATTAATATTACTTGGCTTGATTTGAACTTTGACTAAAATTTTTATTTGACTAAAATGTGCTATGATTAATGGATTTTGGTTGTTGGATTAGATTAGAAAATTTTATTAAGGTAAATTATAATTGTAATTCTTATATTGTGTTGCTTGTATTATTTTGATTTCTACGTTTTAATTGATTCGATTTTGACCTTTGATTTTAAATTTTGTGTCATTTTAATCCAATTGATAGTATCATTTTATGTTTGTTTGTTTCATATGCTTTCATATAGATTGTTATTTCTGTTTGTTTCATATGCTTTCTGTTGACATAAATTCCATATATAAAACACTTAAACATAAATTCTCTTACGTTTGGTGCAAACAAGACAAAGGTGTGGAAATTATGATGGGTGGATATTTTTCCCAAAACCTGAACACTTTAAGTAATGGCATAGATTTCTTCTGAACTACAGCTTATGCCATTACTTAAATTTGAAAAAAATTATCAGCTTATTTTCATCACAGAATTTCCTTATGGAGGGTATGATCACTTTGATTACTTCTTTTTAGATTTAACTCTAGAACTCAAGTATGATATAGAGTATCAAATTGTCCAATTGATGTGTTTAAGCTTGAGGTGTAGTTTGGTGGTTGGGCAGAATCATAATAAAATGGATTGATGTATATATGTAAAAGATTTATAGTTTTAGGATGCCAATGCAGGGTTGATGTATATATATAAAATTACACTAATACAATCCTTATATTCCAATTGGTGTTGATTTATTTGTGTGCCCAAGAAAGGTTAACCACATTGCCCAACACCTTGACCTTCCTTCTGTCAAGGCAGATGGGAATCTGCCTCCACTCTTAATTATCAATATTCAGGTTTTATTTCCACGTCTCTTGTTCATTTATGTATTTTCTATTTACACTAGTTACTCTGCACATGAATGCCATGTTGTTCTGGTGGAATATAGATATTAAACTTCATTAGTTTAAATTCAAAGTTTGGCTGCTGAGCAGTTTCTCATCATTTATCTATTGGCTTATTGTATTTTGTCACGGTTGCCTATTTATCCTGCTCCAATGTTCCTTGGTGATAGTGATGGCGAGGGCTTGACTCTTGTCCTCTATTTCAAACTTTCTGAAAGTTTTGAGACAGACATCTCTCCCCAATTTCTGGACGGCATCAAGGTAATTTACTTTGAATATCTCTTCCTAGACTGGTAGCCTAATCCTTGCATTTTCCCTTTGTTGGAGTGGAATCTTATTATAATTTTTGATAAGATGAAACACTTGGCGATTTACTTGTCATTAGAAAAAAATAAAATAATAATAAGATGATACACTTGGTCTTACTTCTGTCTTCTTGACCTGTGGTACCTTATCTGTTGTTTCTTTTTGCTGGAAATCAAACTGCAAGTTAATGGGTAGGATGCCTCCAATATTGTTGGATGAAGTGAGCATATATTAAATTGGAAAAAATTATGTTCACTGGAATAAAGTGCATAATGCTTTGGCTCAGTTTAGAAATGAAGTTTGCAACTGTTGCCCAATTTCTTGATTCATGTAATGCACCTGCAACAATTTTGGTTTAGTATAATTTTGGTTTCCTAAATTGGAATGGAATGAAGCCATGAAAGAATCAGATTCATGTTTTTGGTGTATATTTGGTCAAATTGAAGGGTATTTTTAAACTATCACATAGCAGTAATAACATTTCAGTAGTTATTTCTGATAAGTAACATTTATGGTGCTTGATGAAACATAACTTTTAACATGAATTAATCTCAGCATTTATAAATAAAAATATAATGGATCTAATAGAAAATATGAAGACCTTTACAAATAAAAATAAAAAAATAAAGTGCATCTAATAGAAATAAGAGTGTGAGTATGGATACCCTTCCAGAGTTAAATATAATGGATGATGTGGCATTTGCACTTGTATTCTAGAAAACCAAATCTCATTAATATAATGGAGTATGAATATGACCAAGTCTCTTTTAGATAATCTACAATATTTATTATTTTTCTAATGCTTTGATGTTAATCGAGGATGAGCAACGTACATTATGATAGATCATTAAAATTTGAATAATTTATTGCATTCTTAAAATATATTGCATTCTTCTCTTTGACAAAGAGCATCTCATTAAACTAACTAAATTTTTAGTCAAATTTTAGTTAGAAAGGTACTTTTCTGTTTTTAAATAGTCATTTTTAAATACATTCTGAACAATCTCTCTATTCACTTTGAATATTTCCTTAGATATGAAGTAATCTTTTATTAATGTTTCACTAGCCAATAACAAATGCTACTATAGTTGGCTTGATAGTTTTATGGGGTTGAATTTTTTACGATTGACTATTTATTTTAAAAAAATAAAAATAATTAACTTGATAGAGGTACTTACTCTTAATCAAGGTTTTTCTAATGGTTATGATTGTAATTCCTTCTAGAAGATAAGATGGCTTCAGATTTGTCAAGTTAGCCCACCACAAAAGGTGGTAGCCCACATCACTCCTTTTCTTCTTTAATTAATCATCATTATATTTTGTACAACAATAATCAATATGGGCAACTATATGCATAGGAAGGTTCACTTCTATCCCAAATAACCAATTCTTCTCATCTTCCTGTGTAGGAAGATGGATAAGAAGAAAGAATTTGTTGATTTATCTTCTATGATGCTCTTTGAGGCCACAGGTGATTCAGAGGCCATTTCTGAGCTAAATATAGCTGCAGTGGATGCAGAGCTGATGGGTGCAGCAGAAGATGATGCACTCTCATGCAGCTGTGATGGCTTGATGGACTGTGAGCTTGGCAAGTTTGATGGCCTAGGGCATACCCATGCTGAAGTTTATCGTGTTGCTAATCATGGTGATGAAGAGAAGGAAGATATTGATCAAGATTGGACTGATGGTAGTGATGATGAAGTGGTGATCACTAAGCTACTTGAGAAATAAGAGTTCTGATCACTAAGCTAATCCAGTGATTTTAGAATGTCTTCTTGTTCTTGTTTTCGTTGTGGTTGTTTTTTTTTTTTTTCAAAGCATGTTGTGTATGAAAAGTGTGAATCAAGTCCACTTTTTGGCCATCCTATTTCCAGCTGCTTTATTCTTAATTTTTTCAATTGTGAATATATGACTATGTAAGTTATATGTTCTTGAAGATGTTTTTGATCTAATTTTGCTGCTGTTTTGTTGCTATTTTTGTGGTGTTTTTGCTATTATTTTGCTGCTATTTTGTGCTATATTTTCTCTACATTGCTAATTATTTATATATATATAAGACATATAATTAAAGTGAAAACCATATAATTGAAAGGCATATAGAATTAAAATGATAACCATATAATTAAAAGGCATATAGAATTATAAAATTACACATAAATTAAAAGCATATACTGATTACATTCAAAACTAATAGCATACTACATAAAATGAAACTTCAAATTCAAAACTTTTACAACTCGCTGTGTAATTGCCACAAGTGTTCGACAAGGCCGGATTGGAGATGAGAATGTGTTTGCCTGTCTCTAATGTTATGATGACATTGAATGAATTCCATAAGTTCAATAGTTCTCTCCTGTAACACTGTTACATGGGGACTGTCATCGATTTGATCATAATTGAAGTCTTTTACTCCATTGTCATCCCGCTCATCCTCAATGATCATATTATGTAGAATTATGCACGCCTTCATAATATATTTAAGCATTTTAGTATTCCAAAAACGTGCTGGTCGACGCACAATTGCAAATCGTGCTTGAAGCACTCCAAATGCACGTTCTACATCTTTTCTTGTTGCCTCTTGAGCTGCAGCAAAAAGTTTTTTCTTATTTCCTTGAGGAGAAGGAATTGTTTTCACAAATGTTGACCATTGTGGATATATACCATCGGCGAGATAGTATCCCATTGTATATTCATTACCATTGATGGTGTAATTGACTGCAGGAGCACGCCCTTGAGCAAGTTCGGTAAATACAAAAGACCTTTCTAGCACGTTGATATCATTATGAGACCCAGGTAATCCAAAAAATGCTTGCCAAATCCAAAGATCATATGATGCAACAGCTTCCAAAATAATTGTTGGTTCATGAATGTGACCAGTATACATACCTTTCAATGCAGTCGGACAATTTTTCCATTTCCAATGCATACAATCACTGCTCCCTAGCATTCTAGAAAATCCATGACTTTCACTAACTGCTAGTAGTTTAGCGATTTCATTGCTGTTTGGTGACCTCAAATACTCATTAGAAAAAATATCAACAACTGCTTTAACAAAATATTTTAAGCTTTCTATTGCAGTGCTTTCTCCAATTCTCACATATTCATCCATAAAATCAGCGGCTACTCCATAAGCAAGCATCCTAAGTGCAACAGTTATCTTCTGAAGAGAAGACAAACCAAGCTTTCCAGCACAATTTCTTTTTTGGAGAAAGTATGGATTATGCGCTTCTACCGCAGCTTGAATTCAAAGAAAAAGTGAACGTTTCATCCGAAACCTCCTTCGAAATAGCTCAGGAGGATATACAGGCGATTCATCAAAATAGTCGAGAAAAAGCCTTTCATGACCTTGAATATGATCACGATGAATGACTTTACGACCTCGAACAGAACCACAATGTGAGTTTGATCCTATCTCACTATCTAGTAGTTCTTCATTCATAGTAACAGCTTTAAGCATCTCCAAATCATCATTAGATTCAGAGAAGTTAGAGTCATTTATAAGCATATCATAAAGAGAATTGGAAGCCATAGAGTTTGGATGAAGTAGAAAATTGAGTTGAGGGTAAAATCAAATGACAGGGAATGTCTTATTTATAATGGAAAAGTATAAAAATATGACCATTGCAAAAATATGACCGTTGTAAAAATTTGAAAAAATATGACCGTTGTAAAAATATGACCGTTACAAAAATATGACCGTTGAAAAAATATGACCATTTGAAAAATACGATAGCAGAAAAATGTAACTTTCATAAAAATATAATTATATTTAGAAGAATGAAAAAAAATAATAATTTGAAAGAAGTTAGATTTTTTTTTTTTTAGATTGGAAAGAAGGTAGTTAAAGTATAAGAATATTTTAATAGAAGATAGCTAAAGTAGATAGTCTTGTTGGAGTGTATATCAAGATGGGTCATTTCTATGGGAAGCTGTGCAAATGGTGGTGGGTACTACCATTATTCATACTCTGTGCAGGGATAGGCAAATTGTCTGAAAGGCTGTCTAGCTCCCACTATGTTAACTTTTGCACAAATTCATACCTCTTTTTCTTTTTCTTCTCAAGCAACTGAGTCAATCTTCACCTTTTGCACCCTAACCACGTTGCTCCACTTTCTTTATTTTATTTTATCTTTCTTTTTCCATTACAACAAAAAAAAAAAAAAAAAAATCCTCTATCTTTTGCATATTCTTTCTTAAAAAACTAAAAAATCATCCTAAACATATATATTTTTTTTACATCAAATTTTAATAAAAAACCAAAAACTTACTTTAAAAAAGGGCTCAAACGAGGCCTTAAAGTAAGTTTCATTTTCCCAAAAAGTGGTAGTGTTGATCAAATTTGTCTAGCTCAAAGTATTAACATTGGTGAGTGAGAGCGTAATCATGCCACATATGCTATAGAAAAATTTCTCTATTAATAGATGGAATAGAATTTGAATTTTGGACAATTTTAAAATGAGTGCTGTTATTAGTATCTATCTTTCTTCTTTTAACTCCTCTTTTTTTTTTTCTTTTTTTTTTAATTTCAATTTTATCCAAACATGAAGTTATATTTTTACCCTCATCCCTAACATTCTAATTCTAATTTTCCAAACATTGACCCTAATTTCCCAAACCCTAACCCTAACCTACCAACCTTTTCACCATTATCTTTACCGGCGACCACCAGTATCGCCGCGAGCAAGGAGATCAACCGCCGCCTCCTCTGCCTCCACAACAGCAGCAGGAGTTTCCAGTGATAGGACTTTTCATGCCGCCTCGATCCCCATATTGCCATTGCTGGTGCCGGGAAAAGGGGCGTATTATTGCGATGTAGAAATTAAGGATAGTTGTGTCAGAGCACCTGTCTAGTATCATGAATTATGGGCTTGGGCATTATGGAACATCTGAAATTAAATCTACATATGGCATTGGTGTTCATCTTTCACCTGCAATTTGCACTATTACCAAGCCAAAGTTTAATTGTCATATCTACATTTATCTGTTGGTGTTCATCTTTCATTTTTGTTGTTGGGGTTTTTTTTCCATTGGGGTTTACAATTGGCAATATGGAGGTTGTATCATTGTAGGTTGTTGTTTGGGATTCTTGAAGATTTCAAAGATAGAGTTTCAAAATACCCTAATTATTTTAGAGTTGTGATTGAAGATGATGAAGGTAGCGGAGGATGGTCGCCGGCGAGGGAGGTTCTGGGAGGTTACCGAAGGGGTGGGACTGCCGATGGTATGAAAATTACAGAAAAAAAAAGTTGGGGGTCAAAAAGATAAGGGGTATAGTTGGTATTAAGGTGGGGGTTCAAAGAAAAAAGGTAAGGGATTCATTTTGCTAGGTGAGAGTTTAAAGAAATGGAGGGGCTTTATAAAGAGGTAAGTACTAATAACATCCCTCTTTTAAAATACATGATTAAATTGGTGAATTAAAAAAATTAATTTATGACAATGTCAAACTTGGAATTTTTTATAATTTCCCTCCAAAATTTAGATGCTTGCACAATAATATGTAAAATAATCTCAAGTGTGAATAATGAGATGATATTCCATACTTTACCTTAAGGCTTGAACCGTATAACCTGCCCAACCTGAAACCAATCCGTACACAAGTGGACGGTTTTGGAGACACAATGCGAGCGGATGTCGTTTGGAATATGGCATTACTGCGAGTTGCGGGTTTTACCCACACCCGCAAGAACCCGCCTGCACTTAAACCCTTTTTTTTTCTTTTTAATTTAAAAACTTGGACCGTAGATTTCATTCATCATATCCTAGATATTTTTTCCCAACAAACCAAACCCTAATCATGGATGTGATTCATGATGGAGTTTGTAAGTTTGCAAATGCTTTTATTTTATTAAATGGGTTTGAATTTGATGAAATTTGACAACAAGTTTATTATTATTTTATTATTGTATTTTGAATGAATGTAAAAGTCAATGAAGAATTACTTTTAGTTAAATTTAGGATTTTGAATGATTTTACTTTAAAATTGTATTGTTGGGTAATGAATGATTTTGATCATTTAGTTTATAATTTTGATAATTTAGTTTAGGATTTTGAAAGACGTGCTTGTGTTAGTTTATGATTTTATTTATAAGTTTATGATTTTGAATAATTTGCTTGTGTTAGGAATTGATTTTGTTGTGTTTTTAATTTTATAAGTTTTAATTCATTAATTATTAATGTTGAGCATTTTAGAAAATTGAGAGAAAATGACCCAAAATAAATATCTAAAAAAAGGGAAAAAAAAGGTCCAAAAATGTGACAACCACCTCCTTAATTAAGTTGATTATGTGCTTAATGTTGATTATGTGATTATATGTTATTAAGTGTTATTGTTATGCCATGAGATTATTTGAATTGTGTTATTGTGGATAGATAGGTTAAAGTGAAATTAAACCTGTCTGATTCGTTAATTTCAAAATTAGAATTAAGCAATAGGGAAGGAATTAGAGCCTATTTCACATTAGTATAATTTAATTAGTGTAATTAAGATTTTAAGATGACGAGATTAATTTAATTTGAGTCAAATTGATTTTAATTAAATTCTTAGCCTTAGATGATTTTACTTAATTTTTTTAGTCTAATTAATTTGAGCCTAGTGTTTTTCATACTCATCAATTGAATTAGAATAGGAGAGTGTAATAGATAAATAAGAGATTAGTAGTGTAATTTAATGTTAAGAACTCATTTAAATAATTAATGAAGGAATCATAAGAATTTAGCTCAAAGATTAACATGTTGTAGACACCCCATTTTGATCGGCCTTAAGACTTGGGGCGCTTTCTTTTGATTACCCTATGATGACAAAACAAAAAGGTGTTTTTCACAGAATCCTCAATAAGAAAACTTAGAATTTTAGCCCTGTTTCCAACCCTAAACAACACAAATTACCTTTCCAAGGGCATATTCTAACCTCACGGTTGCGTCTAGAATGGTTCGTTTAGTTAGGATCAACCTTCGCTGCACTTCCGAGGGCCTCACTGAAAAATTGTCCTGAAATCTAGGTTACAACATAATTATTTGAAACTTTTGGGCCAAATTGTATACTCGGGGAATATTCTATTAAGTTAGGAAATTTTCCGTCCATATGTAGAATATTCCGTCAATGCTAACTGGGGTGCTGACGTGGCAGTATTACTGACGTGGCATGACTGGATTGATCCTTGCTGATGACGTGGCGCTAACTTGTCTTTATCCCAAAAATAATGAATTTAAGAAGTGTTGGTAAAAGAGTTTGAACCCTTAACCTAAGACTCCATACCTAACACCTTAACCACTTTGCCAAAGCTTTGTCTTGTGTTATATTTCCCCTCAAATAATATTTGATCATTTCAAACCAGCAGGCAAAGGTGTATTTTTTGCATTTTTTTTTTTGTGTGTGGGACACTCCCCTACCCCATTGGCTGACCAATATATCACCAAATATATACCTAATCATCCCCCATTGTCAAAAAGAGGTTTTGTTTGCATCCATAAAGAAGTATCCCATGCAACTACCTTGAAAATTTGCCCTCTTATCACATTCTTGTCTCCCACTTTGTCTCCCGCCTTGTTTTTGACCTTCACTCTCCTTCATTGCTTATATAGAATGATCATATTGTAAAAGAGACAGAGGACCACAAAATTGAAGATAAAAGAGTGAGAAAAGCATAAAAAAAAGAAGAGAAGAATTGAGTTTTTGAACTAAAAACATTCTTATCTTCCATATACACCCCATACCTTCCATACAAATTGAAATTCCATCTTTCCTACACCCAAAACTCCTCCAAAAATTCTGAAATAGCTAAATTTCAATAGTGATTGATCAAAGGAAAGAATGAGTGTTGTTGAAAGTGAGAAAAAATAAGAGAGTTAGCCACTTTTCCATCATACATACCCGGAGTTCCATTCAATTTTCAAATTGAGGATTGAGAACACACTTCCTAAACTTGAGGGTGATCAAGAGGAAGTTTAGAAATCAAGAAGTTCAATCTTTCTTTGGAATGTGAATTTCTAGTCTTTCATTTTCTTATATTTTCTATCTCATATTTATTTTCTTGCTTCTTATTTCATAGTGTTTTGTTATAATTTAAGTGGTTTGTTTATCTCATATTTATTTTCTTACTTTATATTTCATAATGTGTTGTTATAATCTAAGTGGTTTGTTTAGCTCATAATTATTTATTTATTTATTTATTTATTTTTATTCGCTTGCTTTAATTTCATGTTAGCTTTGTTGTAATCTTATATGTTCTACTTCATATTTGCTTCCTTGTTTTAGGTTCATGCTAGTTTACACTACAAAAAATTCTCTTTTTTGCGACGGTAAAATACCGTCGCCAATATCCAAAAAGCCGTCTTTTGCGACAGTAAATATCTTTTAGCGATGGTAAAAAAGGGTCACTAAAGGTCTTTAGCGATGGTAAGACGCCGTCGCAAAATATTAGCGACGGCAAAATACTGTCGCCATTAATGTGTACAAAATCTGAAGTTTTTGAGACGGCACTAAAATACCATCGCTAATATGGTTATTTGCGACGGCAAAAAAACCGTCACAAAAGAGTTTATTTAAGATGGTAAAAATACCGTCGCAAAAATGGTTATTTGCGACAGGGAAAATACCGTCGTTAATACTGTTATTTGCGACCGCAAAATCTGCCGTCTCTAAATATTATTGGCGACGGTGAAAAAACCGTCGCTAAAGGCCTTTTGTTAATAATACCAACATCATTGGCGACGGCTATACTACCGTCGCAAAAAACCTGGTTCTAAAAAAAAAGTTGTAATAAAATTATTAAAAATATGAAAATTACCTATATTAAATGAAAATAACTAAAAAAAAAATCGATAATTATATAATAATATAAAAATTCCTGTATATAAATAAAATTTCATCCATAATTAAAGTACTCTTCCATTCATAACAACACATCATCAAAATTATCCCACCACATAATGTTGCATAATACATACATAATGTTGTTCACAAACCTAAATAATGCAAATCAAAAGTAAAAGTTTTCTTCATAATTCTTCAGTGGGTTAAAAAAACAAAAGTTCATCGCAATCTTCACACGGCTGCATTCCACAAGAAGCAAACTGCTACTCAGAAAATATCAGAAAATAAAAAATAAAAATAATCAATGACAATATAATTATGTGTTAATATTTTAATTACAAAAAAACATAAAAAATTAATTACTATATAATTACAAAGACAGTTAAGTAAATAATTTTGGCTAGACAGAAATCCGACCCTAACTCCCAAACCGGGAACCTGATACGAGTCCTGTCTTCTTCCACAAGTCTCTCGTGCCTAGGCGGTCGTGTGCGCCAAGTTTCGTACCAATCCGACTCCGTTTGATATTTTGGGGCGTCAACACCTCGAATTCAAGTTTCTTAAGGAACTAGTTTGCTTAGACCGAAATATGGCTCTAACTCCCAAACCGGGAACCCGATTCGAGTCTCATCTTCTCCCACAAGTCTCTCGTGCCTAGGCGGTCGTGTGTAGCAAGTTTCGTGCCAATCCGACCCCGTTTGGTGATTTTGGGACGTCAACACCTCGAATTTAAGTTTCTTAATGAACTAGTTTGCCTAGACCGAAATATGGCTCTAACTCCCAAACCGGGAAACTGATTGGAGTCTCGTATTCTCCCACAAGTCTCTCGTGCCTAGGCGGTTGTGTGTGCCAAGTTTCGTGCCAATCCGACCTCGTTTGGTGATTTTGGGGCATCAACACCTCGAATTTAAGTTTCTTAAAGAACTAGTTTGCCTAAACCGAAATACGGCTCTAACTCCCAAACA